TACATCTCATAGCCTTCCTGATGCTTCCTTGGAATAAAACAAATACTGGCGCTCATGTCCTTAGGGGACATTCAAAACAGGGCATTCAAAAACCGCTGGTAGGTGACACTAGGACTAAGCCCAGGATTGGGAATAAACACCAGGGAGAACAATGGTTGCTCACATCCTCTCCCAGAATCCTTTCCCTTCCCTAAGGCTTAGTCCCGAGTTCTATGAGTGGCCCACTCACTTCAATGTCCCCCCCCTAAGACATGAGCGCCAGATACTCGGAAGTTTCACCGACATGCTCTTCCAAGCCGGTGTTCTACACTTCCAGATTAGTTTGTTACCGGGTCACCATTCCGAAACCATTCTGAGCAGGCAGAAGGGAGGCCTGGTTGGCCTAGGTGAAATCCGGTGGGGTTCAATTTTGGACCGCGGATGCCTTACCCTGATCGCGTGTTCCCGTCAGATCTCCGCCTCTGGAAATTCCAGACTTCCTTTTTAACAGTAACTTGAAATTATCGTGGTTCTTCAATCAAGGCTTTCAAAGGCTTGATGTGGAGGCAGTGATCACAATGGTTGGAGAGTGGTGCGGTTCCGATGACCTCACGGAATATCATTGGTGAAGGGCGTTGAAAGGACGGTCTCAACCACATCCTCAACGCGCTGATAGGTCTAGTCCACACCAGTGACGTCATCAGTGTCGCACCACATTTTAGCGATTGCGGCCACTGCCTTTAAGTTCACAAAAGTATTCGCTCTATCAGGCTCTCTAATTTGCCATTACAGTTTATCTAACAAATTGCCTTATTCTAATCTCGACGTTTACATGTGGACTTCTAGCACTTTTTGTCGGACTTCTAATCCACCACTGGTTTTGGTTACATGGCGTTAAACTGACTCGAAAAGAAGTAAGGCGCTCTACATAGACTCCCCGAATAAAGAGCTGTAGATAGCATATACATGTTTAGATGATCTTCTTTGATGAAGCTAATCTTCTTGAAACTTCTAACATGTTTGAATTTACCAATGTTCCAATCACAGAGGGAACTACACCTATCTCTGGTCAGTGGCATATAAGTGGCACTAGGCAGACCTATTGCTCGAATCTTACCATCACTTATGTTTTCAGGTCCGGAAGTTTTCCCCGATGCACCCACGAATATTTGGCAGGCCCTGTTCTGTGATGATAAGCAATTGCAAATTCAAAAGGTTTGATTTTGACTTTTCCATGGAAATCATATCTTCCGATGCATCCAACGGTACCCTCCATGTCCCGACAGCTTTCTTATGTGACCTTCTCTAGAATGAAGATGATTTTTCGCCTTTTCGAAAAGTTTCTCTTCAGTTTTACAAAGAACATTATGGCCCAGTTTGGGAAACAGCAAGAAGAAGAGAACAAGAATGGAAAGCAATACAATCAGCTGTGAGTGATTTGACTATGTCGTGCCCCTTTACGATTGCTGGAACTGGGTTCAATAGCACCAAGTGACGGTAGGTGCTGTAGCGAAGAACAGTGCTATGCTTTGGCTTTAGGTAGCTGTTTTTCGAACACAAGGGAGAGCTGAGTGAACTGAGCGATCTCAATATAGGCCAAGGGCGTCTACTGCCTTTGAAGGCACGGGTTGTGATTAAATCCTTCGATTAGTTCTCCCTAAGCAAAGTGCACCCCTAACACGGAGATGGCGGTAGTGTTGTGACTTGTGCGAAAAGCAAACTAATGGCTTAACCAGATCGCTGCGCGATCGCTCGCGACGGCTGCCACTGCACAGCATGTGATGCCGGATGCTTCTCGCCTTTTCCCTCTCCTCGCTCGTGCCTGGTCGCACCATAATCGACCTTACAAGAAAAATTGCAGCGTTTTCCATGGTGTATTCCCTGACTAGCATTCCCCTGCATACTTCTGGCCTAATGCACGAATAAAGCAGATCACCAATTCGATGGCATTCTGTGCCTTTAAGTATGGAGTCTACTTCAGGATTCAACAAACCATGTTTTGATATGTTCTATTTCAGAAAACTGCAAACGGCGGTACGAACAGCAGTCGGAAATAACTAGAAAACCAAGTGTTTTGTTTTTACGATTAAATGTGGATCGTTAAACTTACTCCACGCTTATATGGAAGACTGGTGGTCTTACGATGACAATTCGATAAATGTGTGAAAAGAATTGTGACTTGATAAATGTGCAGCCATCTCTCAATTCTGCAGTCCTTCCTGCCCTAATCTACGCTTCAGAGACTTGGACTCTGCGCAGGCAGGACGAGCATACTATGGTATATAAGTTCCGTCATTTCGTAAAACTGATTCATTTGTGCTTTCCATCTAGTGATCTAATTTGGTGTTTATTTTGTTCATGTTGGTTAGTTCCTTATTGGTGTAGTATTGTATTTTCCGTGTGCCTTATGCAGACGTTATAAACTTAAGCTTAAACTTAAACCATCTCCTTGAACCACTGGAGGCCAAAATATGAATGCACCTTAGGAGTGCTTCCACACTACAACGGTCCTTATTAGACAAAATTTTTAATGAGTCGATTACGTGCCATGAAAACTCTTATCCTTATCCTTAGCAATGGGGAGCACAATGGAGTGCACCCCCCCCCCGAACTGGAGTTTCAGTTCAACAACTTTAGTGTAGTTGTCTTCAGTGAACCCTTTTAAGCATGTAAACACTTATCCTGAAGACGAACAGTAAGCAAACTAGCAAGAAGTATAAGATCTGGCAAGCATATAGTACTTTTTGTTGCAAGTGTTGTGCACAGCTTCTTTTCCGAAAACATTTTATGTGTAATGAATGGAATGCGTGCAGTGAGCTATGCTGAGGACGTTGACAGCATCTGCTCAACCTGCGAAAGAGAGTATGAGCTTTTTGGCAGGTAGAGTTGTTAGTTTTGTTGCGCCCTTCTGGGGTTTTGGTTGTGACGGTGGTGCGCTGGTCCTGCAATGTTGTTTTATAAAATTCCCTATTACTATTATCCACTGTTTTAAGTAGAACGCTGTGAATACGCAGCAATATTTGTACCTTCTGCGGAGGTAACTGCCATAACCGCCATAACCGCCATAACCGCCGTAACCGCCATAACCGCCATAACCGCCATAACCGCCATAACCGCCATAACCGCCATAACCGCCATAGGGGTTACCATAGTTGTAGTGATGGTGATCGTGGCGGTGGCGGGTATCATATCCATCATCGTCGTCATCATCATCATCATCGTCATCATCATCATCATCGTCGTCGTCGTCTCGCCCACCATAGGAGCCGTAGCGGTCATCGTACCTATCTTCTCTATCATATCTTGAGACACTGCAATGCACTTGTTACAGTCTTCCACTATTATTTTCAAACTTCATTCAGGCTCTGAAATGTCACCTTCCACCACTGCGAGTTCTCACATGGCCAAAGACAGCCTCGAAGTTGATTGCTAGAACTACGAAGAAGAGCAAGGCGTAGATCTTCATCTGAAAATGAAATGAAATTTGCTTAGTTGATTACAGAATTTATCTGAGAGCAAAGGAAAGGGGAACAAATGAGATCACCTTGATGATTTGACATAAGAAGCGATGCTCTTTTATACCGAAGTTTGGACTCTTAATCTATTCTCGGACGCCAATTGGGATATACATTGAAGCGTTTCATCTGTAATTAACGCAGAAGCATCACTAATTTTGCGCATATTTTTTATGCTGAAAGTATCTTTGGGCAAAATCGGGCATTACAGTCGTGCCTGCATTCATATATGCTGTCGTGAATACATATTATATAATATAATGCAAAATATAACACACCCATCAATTGCTTCAATGTTACAACTGCTCAGCTAGAATAGAAAAGTGCACCTAACGAAGACGATGTTCATGAGAAACGGATTGGTTCCTGACGCCCCATTCACGCTCAACAAAACGAAGTTATCACGAATGCTCCAGCGACGTCAGGACGAGCATGCGGTCAGCGTTATCCAACGCGCTGTCGAGAGGACGATGCTAGGAGTAACCCTATACACGCAAGTGCAGAGGGGAATCCGGAGTGCCGAACTACGCCAACGATCGAAGATCAGGGACGCTGCCGTTTTCGCCAAGGAATCGAAGATAAGGTGGGCCGGACACGTCATGCGATTTTGCGATGACCGTTGGACCAGAGCGGTTACCGACTGGATCCCTCGGGACGTCAAACGAACACCTGGACGACCGCCGGCCCGATGGTCAGACTTCTTCACGAAAGCTCTGAACGAAAGGAATGAAGGACTTTCGTGTCCCTCGAGCGAGGAGGGTCCACTGGACAACTCTATCACGCGACAGGGACGAATGGAGACGTTGTTTGGTCGCTCGAGCAAATCGACGATCAGCGGGACGACAAGTGATATAGATGCCGCAGGTGACTATGCCAGCACTCGATTCTTCGACGGGATCATGGTGCACACTTCAGCAAAGTTCAGCAAGGTCCCTGATGGATTATTGGCCATTGCGACGTAATCTGAGTAGCTGGTCGGCAGGAATCTTGCATAGTCAGAGCTTGTGTGTTTAGAAAGCTACCCATTAATTTACGATTGAAGAAATTGTGTAGCAGCTTCAGGATGGAGCGATTACGGTAACCTCTTGAGCTTGACGGTGACAGATGACGTCATATTCTGAAGACGGTGAAAGCAGTGAAGTAGGGCCTGGTTCTGCTTACGGGGAACACCTACAGAATATTTGCCGTGAAACTCGCAGGTACGACGGCACCTTTCGACGAAGGGTTCGGTGTTGTGCGTTATGGGCTAAGTGACTTTTCGGCCTTCATGTATACGCAAGAACCAAAGGGGACGCACCAACACGATTTTTATCTTTGGATTGATTTTTCGCAACTGAGACCACTTCAACATTATCCGATTTTGAAGAAATTTCTCTAGAATATTCATGTCAAAATTCGATGAATAATAATTCAGAGCAACCCGTACAATGTTCTCTCAAATAGACTACGCATGTCTATTTTGAGAGAACAACAATTTGATGTTGTTTTCGTTGCTGCAGTTGAGCGAGCAAAAGCCTTTCATAGGGATCCTAGCAGCCTGGCCTCGACTGCAGTCATCAAAGCAGATTCTTTTCAGCTTTACTCATGGTCTTCCTTTGATGAAAGGGTTTCACCTGTTATTTCTATCCCACACACCGGAGTTAGTAAACTCTGAAATCGTAGGTTCCTCAAATGTTGAGCTGTCGTTCTGACTTTATGTCATGGTCCGTGATAATGCCATCCACTATATAAAACCTTTTTTGGCATAAGCATTCCCTCCATGAGGTGCTGCTGTCACAAGTGGAAAGGAGTGCAGCGAAAGGCTAAAGCTCACGCAGGAAAATAAGGGCCCGGCGCTTGCCTGGGTCCAAATCTGGTTCAAAAATGGAATGAAAAGTCGCTAAACCTAGTGTTTGTAAAAATTGCAAGTTTCAAGGAACTTTCGCTCCTCTTTGGCATTTGTCTTCTCAGGTGGAGAATCTTTTCCCTGTGTCCACCACCGGCACTCCCCCCCCCCCCCTCCCCCTTCCAGAACGTGCAAGTGGCCAGTTTGAGTAAGTGCATAGTTTCGCAACACATTCACGCCGATAGCCGCCCATATGGGCTGCCAACAACATGCGCTCCTAGGACGATGGCAGCCCATATGGGCTGCCA